TCAAAGACCAGAGGATGTCTATTGTCCTAGTCATAATAATGCTATCAAAAGGCATTGCTATCATTAGAGTCTCCGAACCCTAATAAAATACTTACATACCACCCTAACCCAATAGACATCTTTATCTTCATGACAATGAAATAGCCCATAAAATAAAATAAAAAACTTAAAATCATGATACAACTATTATAAAGGAACAGCGCACACACAAAAAATACAGTTTTATATTTTACATGAATCCTTAAAGTCACCTATGTTTAACCGAATCGCCATGTTTGCTAAGATATTGTTCAGTAGTCTTGTAAAATGCAAAACTGTATTTTTTTTTTTTGTGTGAGCACTGTACCCATCCACTATAGGTGATCAACTGGAGGTGACCACAGGAAAGCCTAAATTGAGTAGAGTCTGTGGATGCAATAGAAGCATTGCAATTAGTATGTTAATCTCTTTAATGATGTTAAAATTAGTGTTGGGGTACTGTGATGTAGTGGTGGGCTTAACACCGTATGACCATATGGTGTAATTGAATCCCCATGTTTGTTTGCTTAGATCGATGCTTTTAAGTAGCCTCGTAAAATGTAACATTTTATTTTTTTGTGCGCGCTGTTCAATAATCTTATTATATATATCTATGTATAATAATCTTATTTTATATATATTTTGTTCTTACTGGAGCACCACTACTTAGAAATCCATGTTTCGGGTGTGCTCCTAATTCCCCTTTTTCGATGACTTATTGCTTATCCTTTTAGTTTCTTGGGAGCAAGTTATTGCTCTACTCTTTGTGAGCATCATGAATTCAGCTTTCACTTTGGACATTAATGCTCTTTATAGTATCTTTATGTTTAGTAACTAAATTGCTTTATGTATATTCATTTTGTAAATTACTGTCTGAATACCATGTGCTCCGATTTATTTACATATGCTGATTGTTATATTATTGGTCTTTTCTGAGTAGACGATCTACATTCTGCTTTCTCAATAATATATATTATACTATATAAAATTACTTTTTTATATCACTACTTCAAGTTTCTACATGTCATAACATATATTTTCTACCTATATTAATAACTGTATTTAAATTACATACTTTTACTCTATTGAATGTTGTCAGAGCTTACCTTAGTTGGGAGTCCGCTATGCAGAGATATATGCTCACCCTTGCAAATAAACACAGACCACAGTTCAAATCCCCTGTTGGGCACTTCTGGGGCGACCACGTCTGGCTGTCACGGTGAGTACCGTGACACATGTGAGTGCTCTCTATTTTTGTCTTGTTTATATTAACACTGTACACAGAAAGTACTTGGTTTTAATTTGTTAAATTTTATGTATTTTTTGTTTATTTAATAAAACTAATTAAAATCATGCATGAATTACGTTATCTCTATTAAAAATGTCTCCAATTAGTGAAGAATTTACATATATTGTGTGCTAAAGCAGGGCACCGTTTGGTAAAAACTGCGTAAAAGTGAAGATAAAATGTTTTATATCTAATATCCTTCGTAACCAGTTGTCCTGAAAAGACATTAACCAACAACGTGTACTGTATATTTTTATAGTGATTTACTTTAAAATACAAAGCAATTTTTATATATTGAGCATAATATGCTTTGTACAGAACAATTTAAATGACAGAAAAAAAAATGAAAGAATATCATATTTTTGTAGAAATCATTTTCAGACACTGCAAAAAAAAAAAAAATACAAACTAACCCGCACATCAATAAGATTTCCTCTAATATGCTTAGTTTTCGCATCCAAAACCATTATATTCAGCTCCTTGGCAGAGAATCATAAAAATGGTTACCACTCAACCAATATACAATGTATGTGCCATCACGCAGTTCAGCGAAAAACATTTAAGCATTAAACGCTTCTAATGTTACATGAATTATCTCCATCATTTGTGAGATATCATATAGTCTCTATCTGCTGCTGGTATATTTATCTACAGTATTCACAGGTGGTGTATGTCTGCTATTATTTATTCTTGGGTTCCAATATGAGCTTTAGTTTCCTAAGTAATTGTAGCTTCTCAAGCTCTAGATCCAGTTAATGAATGCTAAGCTGAAACACATTCTTAACTTGGCTAAAGACAGACATATTTTATTTTATTTCTATACTTGTCCTTGAAATACCACGAGAGCAGCATAATTTGTGGCATTTGTATGGAAAGAGAATGGAGACAGTTGACTCAAATGGTGTCCGAAGATATATACAATGAAGATGGCTCTGTTTCATGGGAATTAAATGTATAATCCAGGCATAGGCAACCTTCGGCACTGCAGATGTTTTGCACTACACCTCCCATGATGCTTTGCCAGCATTATGTGTGTTAGAGCATCATGGGGATGTAGTCCACAACATCTGGAGTGCCGAAGGTTGCCTATCCCTGGTATAATCAATAAACTACATACCACAAAAAGTGAGAAATCACATCTAATATTTCTGGTCAAGTCATTTTCAATCATTAAATGGATATCCACATAAAACTTAAATAGCCAAGAATTAATTTAACTCAACTCTAGTCAATCTACAATTGCCCATCAGATTTGGGGAGGCATTTTAGTTAATAGAGAAACAAACTGCACTTCTCCAGAGGAGCCAGATTCCGGGTGCAAAACTGGAGCCTGCGCTATCCCTAATACATTCAAACTTATAAATGTGTTTCTACTATTGATCAAAAGAAGATTGAAATTCCAGTTTGAAGCAAACTTTTACTTGTACCTCAGAAAGAGATACATTTCTTCTTGACTCCCAAATGACAATTGTATATATCCTTGGATCAACAAGCTGTCTGTTTTTAAAAAAAATAAATAATACAGTAAAAAAAATTGGAATCCAATAAAACAAGCCCTTCAAGCAGGGATTGTCATATCTTTATTGGTCACACTATAAATAATTTTTTCCTCTGTTAGATGCAAAATCTTCTTTCTTCTAGTCTTAATGACCGACCCATGTACTACCCTAAATATTTACATTTTAAAAGTAATCTGTTTGTAATGTTTACAGTTTGAAAAGATTATTAAATCATTTGTTTGTTATGAATTATGGACATATTAGGTTTGCTGAACATTATGGTAAATTTGATTAGCAGAGATGTGAAGAGATGCTGAAGTTAATTTATTATTGGATATCCAAGGATTGAGAACAGTGACAAATTTGTATTGCTACTACAGTTTATTTCATATTGGAATGTTGTTCCCTAAGTGGGACTTGGTTGTTGCCTCCACTGTGCGCACACTTTGTACCAGAAGTCGTAGTTTGAAGCCTGGAACTGCAGTTACACAAGCTTTGTGAAGATGTGAAACATCTCAGCACTGCAAAATAAGTTGGGTATTTTTGGGCTGTGAAATTCCTACTTGGTGGAATGTTGTCAAGGATTTGGAAAGAAATCCCAACACGTAGAACCTAGTCAGACAAATAGACAGAGATAAATGATGGAGGTATATTTTACTGGTCCTTAGACTTGCCGGAATGATGCAATACTTACAGTGAGGCAAAAACTGTGAAACTACAAGCAGACATCGTTGTCAACAAAAAGCCAAAGACAAGTCAGGGATAACAGAAAACATTGTGAATATAAACTAAGCTGAGGTCAATAAAACAGAAAAACAAAGCAATCAATGTGCAAAGGACCAAAAAAACAATTTCATTTCATAATTTATTACTAGTGACAGAAACAGAAGTGAAATGAAGGTGACAATAAGCAGTCGGTGTGAAAGGTGTCTGCCATCACATTTATATTATAAAGCAGGACTTTTTGGGAGTTAGCAGCTCATAATGAGTTTGGATTAGCAAGAGGGAATGGGCCTCATACAATGTATACAAAAATAGCTTGTTAATATAGTTATTGAACGTGGAAGAGTATGATAAACATCATAAGGATGAGGATGATAATTAAACATGATAGAAATAATAAAAACTGAGATACATTTAGGACATGTAATAAAAACTGAGATACATCTGGGGGTGTGGAGATGGTGTGGAGACAGACAGACAAAGGTTTACATGCACGTGAATGTATTTATTTAATTAGAAAGCAGCCATATTAAGTATTTCTGTATAAAAATATTAAGAATTGATATCTTCACTTGACTATTCCAGACATTTCATCTGATGATAAAAATCTATTAAAAATAAAGCAAAACATTTTGACAAATTCACCTACAACACTTAATTTGTGCTAAAAACTATTCAGATGGTGGAGCCCTAGGACTACAAATGATGCTACATGTTTTCATGTTCTGCATAAGTAAATCTTAAAACACGTTGTCTTCAGTGAAGAGTAAGATGGTAGGTACTTCAATTGTTTTTTCCAATCAGACTTAATTAAATGCTTTTATTGTTTTTTAGTCTATACCATGTCGGATCTTAGATATCTTTGTGTCTAAGTCTCCAATCTTCTTGATTAGTTTCTGTGTTTCTGGGAAGAAGAGTAAACATTTGTATTGACTTCATTCTATAAACCCAGGAAGAATTTTCTTTTAAACATATATGAATAGTTTAAACTAGACTTGTTTTGTTACAAACTACAATTCGCCTAAATTTGACCGATTGGATGATTACCAAAATACAAGATTTCCAAACAACCATATTCAACCATATTCACGGGAAAAAAAACAACTCTGGCAATGGACGAACATGTTCACTTTGATTCATGATTTGGAGTCCTGCCCCAGGCACAAAAATTAATTCTGAAAAAAAGAGACGAATTATGAAATAAAAGATGATTGATGGATAGGGGACATATTCCTAATGATGATATTTTTCACAGATCAACTGTTAAGTGTCAATTGAGGGGAGAAAAAATGAGGAGCAATTAAAAAAGAAACTGACATTATGTATATTATATATTTAATACATATATATATTATATAGATTTGTTTTACTTTTTCCCTCTGTTAGTTAGGTTTTCTCTCGAACTGTAAACCAAATGGCAGGAAATAATAATAATAAAAATGCATATTATATTATGTATTTATTTTGCAGTACAATAATTTGCCCATTTTCATGCTCTTTGGTTATTGATCTTGTTCAGTGGTCATACGTCTGACAAGCTGAACCACACCGTGAACGAAAATGTTTTACTTTTCAGACTAAGTGGTTTGCCAGAAATTAATTTTTTTTGTTGCTGTGTACGATTCTTATTTAAATGTAATATTGTTAATTAACCAGTTAAAGTTGGTATTTAAACATTGATATAACATAGAGATAACATTAATAAAATAACTCATAGTGCTCTAAATTATTATGGAGAAACATCCTCCATGCAAATGATCCCGAAAAACCTATTTGGACAAACCAAGAGGATGCAAAGACCCAAACCTGTGCAACAGTATAAAATGGTATTTTACCATTCAGACTTGGTCCACATTCAATCAATATTTGTGGTTTTGAGAGTTCGGTTATATTTGTGGTTTTGAGAGTTTGGTTACATATTTTAATCATTTGATTTGAATGATCGCTTCAGTGCACTGAAGAAGACTCTGTGTGGGCGTCGAAATGTATTTGCTATTCTCGAATTGTGAATATTGGATGGGACTTTTTTCGGTGGACATTGCGATGATCTCTATTTTGGGCCCTATTATTTCACTGGCTAACATTTTATGTAGTATTAATATACATTTAGTCCCTTATTTTACTACATTTATTTTATCATTTGTGCAACATTTAACTCCTTAGTGCTTCACTGGATACTACTCCTGACCCAATGACTATTCACAGCCTTTATAGGCAACTAGGAGCTCGTGTTATAGAGCCCGGGAAGGCTCTAAATCCTGTAAGTTACTCTCTCTATATTCTTTGTGGATTTACACGTCACAGAAAGCACATGTGTATTTGTTTTCTATGTCTTTTAGATTATGTATACACAACTTGATACCAAGTTGCAGGTACATTTTAAGTGTGCCACTAGGACGTAACGCTTGTTTATATTGTAGTTATCTGGTTTTATGGTGATAGGGGATACACCTTGTGTTACACCTTTTATATATCTTCCTGTATACAAGAAGCATCAATACTCCTCTCGTTTCTGTTTACACAAATACAAACACTGACACACATGCAGATACACAGACACACATATAGATCAACATGTTTTAGCCAACCTTCAGTATCCTACATTGTGAGTACAGGAGGGTGACTACCCTTTGGTCCAGTCTGCTGTCTGATGATGTTGGGAGTCGGAGGATGACTGGCTCTCTTAGTTCTCTCCCACCTCCTATCTGTCTTCTTCTCCTCCTCTCCCTCTTGCTTGACTTGGAGAAAGTGACCAGTTCTTACTTCCTCCCAGCAATGCAATCATTAAAGAGGCCCAGTCCCGTTGTTAAATAACAGCAGTGAATGACCGGGCCCCTGAGGAAACATGTCAATTGGGTGACCTTAAGTACATGGGTCACCATATTAGCATGCAATGGTACCTATTGTATAGGACTAACATTATACTTTCAAGACAAACTTTCAAATGTTTTCCACAGGTCTGAAGAAGAGAGGAAAACTCTTGAAATCTTGTCTTTGAAGTATAATGTTAGCTCAATTAAAAAAGGTATCATTGCATACTGCAATACTCAGGTATTTTGGCATCTTGTCTACTGGACTAATACGGTGAATCATATATATATATATATATATATAAATGTGTATAAATATATATTTACAAATACACACACCCAAAATAGCCTTTTAACATCTTAGAATACACGTATAATCCATCTGAATAATATGATAAATTCAAAATAAAAAAATGTCTCCTACATACAGTTTCTATAAATGCAGGATTTTCTTAATACAGTCATCGTGTCATTTTATTAGAGGTCATTTATAAACACAATCCTTTTATAGTCCAAGTGCCCCCTATTTCAAAGTCCTTAGAAGTCTGCAAGAACTGATACATCTTTGTCGTACTTGGCATGACGATGAATTAGTCTGTACAGTTGGGTCCATCAGTGCCTTCCTCATGTTTTTCCAAGAAGGTGATGGCTTTGTGCAAATTATTTCCAGCTGGTGGGGCAGGCAATGAGGCAAATGATTCCATCCCAGCCTGGCAGCTTTAAAAACTGGATATGAGCCTGTGACTGTCTGTATTTACCACCAGCAATCTTTATGCTGGCTTATGGAGCTCTGGTGGCCTTTGGTCGGTTTGAGTCATCACACTTTGAATAATGATGTTATATATTTCTTGTAGAAATGTCACCGGCCTGAAATATGAATTCAGAAACTGTCAATATTTCACAGATTTCTAAAATATTCCATATTTCTTTTTTAAAATATATTAATAGTAAGGTTATGTTAAGGTTTTTTGCGTGGAGGGATGTTAAAATAACTTGAGTGAGCAGAACACATCTGCAGAACTTCACAAAGGACAGAGATTCCAAAACACTTTTGATAATCTAGTATGGGATTTCTTTGCTCATTTCAGCCGTGTGGTCTAAGTGACCTTCCTCGTGTATTTCCCCACAACCTGCCATGGATATTTAAACTTGTCCCATTGATGAAGGATGATGAATACTTTGCCATAAAGCTGAGTCCAGCCTTTCTTGGCTCTCCTCGAACTCTTGGCAGTTCATTTGGCTGACACCATGAAAGGCTGACTTCTTTAATGATCTCTTAAAACTCACTTGTAATATTTTTCACTGATATAAATCTTATTTCAAGATTTTTCACCACATTTCAGTAATGAGCGTATAAACAATGTATGGATAAAAGAGAATAAATCTAAAAGGTTACATAATATCCAAAATATGTTCACATTTATGGAAAAGAAAGTTAATCAAGTTCTCATCATTTTTGGTTGAAAGGGTTAATTAAAATATATTTTGGTTACCTGATACCTCAGAGATTTAGAAGGATTTTTTTTTAAAATGCATTGTAAATTAGTACGTTATTTTTCCACATGAATAAATTGTTAACTATTGTTTCCTGTGGTGCTTTGGTTAACTCTCAGAAAAAGTCACCAGACCAACACACAAAAATATCATACAAAACGTACCTCCAGGGTTTGGGCTGGTGAATTAATCAGAGCAACCTGTGGGTTATGGTAGTAGAAGTGCTCTGGCACCCTTCCAGGATAAGTAGTTAAACCATTTGCAAGCATTTTAACAACTTCTTTGGGGTCGTGCAGCCGCCAGTCACCTCCTAAGCTAGCCCCCTTTTGCAAATGGTTTGACTACTCATTATGAATGGGTGCCAGTGCATTCTGGCCACCATAATCACTACAGTGATCTGTAGTGGTTATGGTGATGGAACGCTCCTTTGAAAATCTAAGAAACATTCCTTAATTTTTAAATAGAGGAAATATAGAAATAATAATAATACAAATGACATTTCACACTAAATTAATTATTCTAGTTTAATCTAGCATCTATATAAAACCAGTTTAACCCATTTCGCCAGAAATGCATGCATAAAATAAGTGAATCTAATATACTGTATATGTTTAATTTGAATAATGAAGACCACTGTCCTATCAAATACGAGACAGAAAAAGTCAGGTTAGTACATGTGTGTGTATGTGCGTATCTGTGTGTGTGTGTGTGTGTGTGTGTGTGTGTGTGGTATGTGTTGAAGGAAGACCATTGTAACTGCTGACAGGCCTGATGGGTCTACAGGATGAAAACAAAACCTTCTTTTTACCCTCTTCATCAGCCGTGGAACATCCATCTTACCATTTTCTTCAACAGGTAAACCTACCTCAGGATCACTTACATCACTCACAACAGCAGCATCCAGATCGCCTTTGTGCAGTCCTCATCTCCGTCAGTCTCACTAAGGGGCACTTTGAATTCTGTGTGATGACTATAGTCTGTGATTATCATTATTTGTGGAACTTTTCTCTCAGTGTTTCTGTACATCTGTATGTGTGTCAGTGTGAATCTACATGCGTGTCAGCGTGTGTATCAGTGTGTCTGTGCAAATGCATGTGTAGCATTGTTTGTATCGGTGTGTCTGTACATCTGCATGTGTGTCACTGCTTATATCTATGTGTCTGTATCTTTATGTGTGCTAGTGTTTTTATCTGTGTTTCTTTATCTGTATGTGTGTAAGTGTATCTATGTGTTTATATCTGCATGAGTGTCAGTGTGTGTATCTGTATGTATGTATCTATCTGTGTGTGTCATTGTTTGTGTGCATGTTTATCTGCATGTATGGTAGTGTTTGTATCTGTGTGTCTGCACATTTGTATGTGAATCAGTGTGTATATCTGTGTGTCTAAATTTGTATGCATGTCAGTGTTTGTATCTGTGTATTTGTATGTGTTTCTGTGTAACTAGGTGTGTCAGTGTTTGTACATGTGTGTCTGTGTTTCTACATGTGTGTCAGTGTATGTATCTGTGTATCTACATTTGTGTCAGTGTTTGCTTCTGTCTGTCCACGTATCTGCATGTTTTTCAATCAAAGTAAATTATATATGTGTGTCATTGTTTGTATATGTGGGTCTGTGTGTCGGCATGTGTAGCAATGTCTATATATTTGTGTCCATGTGATGTTGTATGTCTGTATCTGTATATTTGTCAGTGTTTGTATCTGTGTATCTACTTATGTGCCAGTGTGTGTGTGTCGGTGTATCTGCATGGATGTCAGTGTGTGTATCTGCAATATACATACACACACCTGGTGATGAGGAGAAGCAGGGGAGCCTTGACAGAGGAGAAGCAGGGGTGCCTTGGGCAGAGAAAAAGCAGAGTTGGGGCAGAAAAAAACATATTCATTTGAAATAACAGCAACTATATTCATTACAAACATTTCGCTAATATGAGTGGTACAATTTATGGAAATGGACTGCCAAGTGAAAAAAGGTTGGAAACCATTGATATAGAGAATGGGGTTTGGAAAAGCTGAATTACTTAAAATGGGTTAAAGGGACACTCCAGGCACAATAACTGTCTACGAACTATTAGCTCTCTTGCTGATGTAGAGGAGGTGACACCCTTAGGTAAAAAGTAAAACCGTTCAAAAAGGTATATGCAGCCATAAGAGAAGAACATCTCCTCTTTATTATACACTATTATATATTGTTTTCTAATTTAGTAAGAATGTGCAGAAACGTACTCATTCAGTTATATCTAGATATATCCAGTATATAAACACATTTCTATTTTGTTAAAATCCCATTGCTGTTTGTTCCATTTACTAACATTTTCTCCCACTGTCACTGTCCGATCCTCAGGACTGCTTCGTCCTTGGGTTGTTTTCCAGCTCAGCAAACCATTATTATA